TGTTAAAATTCTTACCCGTTGTGTAGAGCTAGGTTTTGCCAGGCTTATTGACAGGCTAATCATCAAAACACCTAAACTGTCTTCAGGTAACTCAAGTTTGTGCTGCTTTGATAGTTTATTGGGTATTTACTTGCTATCTTCCTTCTCAGTTTATCAGCAAAATACTTTCGCTTGTTTCTTTCTTTTGTTATACTGGTAGCAGAAACTAAAATCTAGAAAGAAGAAAATTGCAAGCCATGATGTCCATGTCTTGCCAAGGTGGGTGTCGAAGTTTCCAAGTGCAGTGTTGCTTTTTAGATAGCAAAATGATGACTTATAACTGATTTTGTATCATAGCAACATATCAATTAGTATCTCGCAGCTACCTCTTAACCAAAGTGATCCAAACACAGATAGAAGGAGGTGGCATGCCTTACACGTGCTTTTGTATGGCTCTCTTATTCAATTGAGACATAAGGACATAAATTTTTATAATCCTTGGCAGTAAGCTGTTTTGAAAAATTGCTAATCTTTTCCACCTCCTTTCCCAGTTGTCAAAACCATCATGATAATAACTTACTGTATTAAGGAAGGTTAATTTTATGGTTAAAATCCTGGGCTAGAACTCAGGAGGTATGTTTCTGTTACTTCCAATGTGGAACATTCACATGGATTTAGGGTAAGTTGCTAAATCTCTTTGCCTTTTTTTTTTTTTAAAATCTGTAGGTGAGAAAAGGACCAGGTTTTTGTATTCTCAGAAGAGCATTTGGCTTGTGTTTCAGTGGGGGCACAGGAACAATACTGTGGTACAAATAGATTCGTTTCTGTCTTGAGAGAAATGCTGGTTTAAACACTGAATTACTGTTTTTACTGTCCTAATTGGCACCTTCACCTAAGGTATCAATGCTGTGTTCACAGAATGTACGGCAAAATAGGCCTCTACCTTGCTTCATGTAATTTTACTTCAGCTTTTTAAAGTCTTATCTTGTAATTGCTGCTCTGTGACACTAACTGAATGGTAGATTTCTAATGTTTAAATATTACAATTCTTAACCTATTTTCCCCTCACTTTCTATAAAAACATAGAGTGAAACCATCGCTGTGGATTATCTGAGGGAATTTTACTAATTAGAATTGCATGAGAGTTCAGGCTTCTGAGCTGTCATCTGTCCCATCGGCTTCCCAAGCGCTGGAGGTTTCAAGTAGCTTCAGATTTCACAGTTGTCATAAATATCTGACTTATTCTGGCAAAAGATCTTGGGGATACATTATGGGGTCAAATTTTGCAGTCCTGCATGTGTCTGGGCAGTTTTTCTGCTTCTAGAAGCAGAATTTGGCCCTCATCTAGAGTCTAATCTTTCATGTCCTTCTCATGCAAATGCACTCAGTTGACTCCAGTGGCTCTGCCTGTGCGAATGAGGGCTGAGTTGCGGCAATGCGTCTTCGGGTTGTGAGCTCCAAGATACTGGATTTGGCATTTCTCTTGCATACGTTGGATCCAAAGTTTATAGGTGTTGGATTCTCGCAGAATGCTTCTGTGGAAAAAATGAGAATGTTTTGAATGAGCAGTAATTGAAAGCATGAAAGTTGTTTGTGTGTTGCATGAAGGTAGTCACCTCACTAATGTGACAGTGTGACTAGAGCTCTGTGAACATTGAAAGCACCATTTAGTTGCTAAGGTTATTATGGTAAAGTGTGTTTGCATAACATCTTTGCTCTCCAGTTATCAAGGACACCAGTACAGTTTTTGGACGTAAATAAGAGACTTGGGAAAGAACGCCATGCAATGCATCCCACTCCTGAAACTGGAGCAGTGGGTATCTGTGTAGAAGATACAAACACAACACAAATGCTTGATTTTGTTTGTGCAAATGAGAAGGCCTTTGTGATGCAAAGCAGCATCCTGAAAAGGCAAATGTGCTTTTTTGGTTGTAAATATCCCAGCTAAATACTGCAAGTAATTGCAAGCAGAGCTTGGCATTTTTCCTCTCTATTCTCTTCGTCGTTATATTTTAACAAGTTCTCGTGAGACTATTAAACCGTCTTAGTTTTTGGAACATGTGGCCTAGTGGGGATAACTCTGTCTACAGATGCAGCGGGTTGGCAGCTCGATTTTTGCATGTCTTTTCATTTCCCTCCAGATCCTGTGACCCAGCGTAACCTTTGGTCCCCCTCTGAAGGCCGGGGTGAGGGAAGTACGAGCAGGTGACTGATGATCACTGTCAATACAGCCTGCGGACAATATGGGAATTACTTTAGCAGTCTCCCACTCCCTTGCGCTCTTCCCCCCCACCCCGCCTCTCTTAAATCAACAAATGCAAATAGCAGCCTCCTCATTTGCTGCTATCTCGGGGAGGCTGCCCGGGCAGCATGGGCTTTGTTGCAGTCCTGCCTATTGAAAAAAGCGGCTTCAGCCCTAGGCGGAAGGAAAAATACCAAATGGGACCTGACCCCCCCCCTTAATGGTTAATGCTGCTAATATTTGGTCCTCTGGCGTATACAGGTAGGAAGATGCTGAGATGAGGGTACGTGGTGTGTGTGTTTCAAGAGGGCGGCCTGAAGTGGTTGGAGCTGTTTGCGTTGTTACTCTTTGTCCGGTAAATGTCCTTCTGGAAGGGAGTAGGGATTGCCCAGTGCCCCAAAGCTCATACCTGTGCTCCTAGAACCTGTTGACATTGCAAGTAGCCGTGTATTTAGCCGTAGTTCTGTCTTTACTGTGCAAGAATAGAAACGCATTTGGTAGACTTCAGCGTAGGCAGAGGCACAAAGAATTTGTGAACCAACATTTCTTCACAAGTTCATGATTCTTTCGTTAAACGCAAAGCTGTGTGGCACAAATAAATAAAAATAGCTGCATTTTACATGGGTGTAAGCATAATGCAGGATGTCATATGTAGTACTGTACTGTACAGCATACAGTTGACATTGCTCTGCTTGCCAGACATACAGCTTAATGCGAGTTGTCATTCAGCAATTCGGAGACATTAGAGTAATGCTATGCCACCATTTGCTTAAAAATTCTGTTAATCTTATTTGAAACTGTCATTGCATATGAAAATAAATTTGGCATGCATAAATAAAAGAAGGTGATCACTTTGCATATCCAGAAGGTGGTCCTTCTCAGATACCTAGGGATATCATGTTTGTATTTGATGTATTAGGATTGCAGCCAGACATAGTAAAAAGATTTCTTCTGAACTGCCATTTAGGAATAGTAGATTAGTAACCAAATCAGACAAATAGCAATGTATGTAAATGCTCCTACAGCTTTAAAAATGTGTGTCAGTAATACTTGTATTTTGTAAGTCTGTTTGCAGTGTGTATTTCATCTTACAGTGACATTTTCTATTGCAAATACTTTTTGACAGTTAACTCCTAAATAAAAATTCAGAGTTAAAGTAACAGTTGTAAAGCTAGGTGCTGGACTGTTAAGGTGAATATCACTAATAGAACTAGACATTAAAACTGTTACTCAGTCTTTAAGTATGTTCTTTTCTCAAGATCTCATTTCAAATGTATTTTTTAGTTTTATTTCATGTTTTATTTGCTCACCGGAAAGCCTCAATGTACTAATGTTTTAGAAGAAGAAATATCCCAAATTCATGAAAATCCTGGAAATTAACTATTTAGCAGCCCCCTATGCTCCACTTTCAGTCTGCAGTAGCACTTTGGATCAGGCACTGGTGACTGACACAGTCAAAGCCTGCTTGAACCATAACTTGCAATACTTCTGAGTGCTCTCGCATTAAGTTCATAGTGTTTTAACATTAGGGTGAACCACGAAGTTTCATCATCAGCAAGATGCAAAACACTGTGGTAAAGGCAGTGTGATACTAGAAAGCCATCTAATTTTAGTGTAAAGGCTTCAAATTATTTCAAATAACGTTGTGTGTTCCTTTCCCAGACCTTGCAACAAGGCTGGTTTGGTGTCACAAAAATTTCCTATTTTCATCTTCTACTTACCTTTTTCACAGGTTCTGCATTTGTCTGTCATTAATCAGGCCAATAAAAGAGAATATTTGTTGGTCTTTTGGACTTAGTAATTGCTTTGTTTTGGCCACAAGTGCTGCTGTAGCATGGTGCAGTACATCTTTTCATTGAGAATATGTCCTTATCCATGGGTTCTATTTGGCATCCTTCTGGTGTTTTAATAAGTCCACTGTGACAGGAATTGTTAAATCATCATTATTACTAAAGAGGAGAGTGAGTTGGGTGGAAAAAGTTGCTAACTAGGAAGTTCGGTGAAATCTGATTACGTTTTACAGCTCACATCAGATTATAATATAGTCACATCATACAGATATTGGGTCAGTTTTGTACTGGGTTGGGAGTGGGATATTCAACACAGAACCAGTTTAGTGTTAAGAATGAATAAAAGTGACACTTTGATTTTTGGGAGTCCTTCTTCCAAATAAAATTTTAAGCCTGTGTGTCTCCAGGTAGAAAAATCTGGATATAGTTACGTGAACTTAACTTTCTAAACTGGCATCTCAGACAAATGCTCATTAATGATGCTTTGCCTATCCTCAGTTTCTCTTCTTTAGTGGGATGATTTTCTTCACTGTTCAAAAGGTTTCTAGCTCCCTAGAAGTAGTTGGCATGTCTTGTAATCGTGGAAACTGCCCTTAGAGGAGAATGGATGTTTTATGGGCTGTATAATTTGTGAAGTATTTGGAAGGCCTTCTTGATGAATGGCACTTTACAAATATCTTATCGTAAAGAAAATTATGGGGAGCATTTATAAGGTGAGTGAATTAATTCTTTTTTATTTTTATTTGAATGCTTTTCTGTTAGGAAAGTCCTTCTAAAATAGTGGGTATACAGAGTTCTCTCTTAGGCTTTAATGAGGTTGTATAGTTTCATGGCAACCACTTAAGTTAAAAATATCCAATTATATTTATTTTACAATATAAATTGTGCACTACATTTTTATTTTTTTTAATCCTTTGTTAGAAAAGTTGCTTTCCATCATTCATTTTGAGGTTTTCCTCCCCTCCCCTTTTGTTTTTGTTTTTCCTCAGTTTCCATTACAAAGAGCAGTGCAAAAATCCAATCTTCCCCTTCCAAAGTGACCCGGCGTTCAATGCAGTCTCCACAGAAATCTGCTCCAGCACCAGCGCAGCGGGGCAGGAAACCAGGTCGGGGCAAACCCCCTGGACAGTCTGCAGTTCCCAAGAAGGGCAGGTCTCCTAAAAATATTCCCTTGACAAAAAGCACCTCTCATACTGAAACTCTTAAAACAAGGAAAAAAAGTTTAAAACCTGGAAAAAAGGTTAGTCCTTATCTACTACTTTACTTTGTATTGAAAAACTTTGTAGTGAGATTTTATTATTATTTAATTTTCTGTCTTCTCTTCAGCCTTCAGGGCTTTAGGGTTTTCAGCAATTGATTAGAAGAAGTCTAGAATAGCTATTCTGGAATATTTCAGTATAAACTTCTGTGGAATATTTTATTCCAGAACAAGATTACAAATTTCCTTATGGGTGAGTTGTTGGTGTTGAAAAATACTGTTCTGGAATAGCCATTTCCAGTCAAATTCCAAGAGCCAGGGAGGCCTTCAGGGTTTTTAGTCTGGGTTATTTTGTTACTGAACCATATACATAGTTTGTTTAATTTTATTTTTTTTTTTTATTATTGTTATTATTGGGGTTTTGCCTCATGTTTAGAAACAAAGGGTTAGGAACAGTGAGGATTTTGGTGCAGAATTTAGGCATCTTAAGGACACAGCTGGATTTCCAAAATGGATCTCAGATACCTCTTATTCCTGGATGTACTAGTGTGAAGCAGGAAGCTTCTTTCCAGGCAATATATTTCTCCAGTGTGGGCCTTATTCTGCCCTGATCTGAAAGACGCAGTGCCTGTCTGCCTTTCTTCCTTCCAAGCTGAGTCAGACCTGGGCAGTTGGCAGCTGCCTCCAGCTTCAGGCTCCTCTGGAGCTGTTTGACCAGGTACAAACTGAAACTACCCCCTTACCACTCCCACTGACACCAACACTGGTGGGTAAACGATCCCAGAATGAGCTAGTTCAGGGAGCTAAACTGGTAGACAACTAACCCAGCATCCCTTCCTCTTAGTGCCAGCTTTGCTTCCCTCCC